TCAGTCATCTTGAAATGAGTTAATAAAGCTTTTCTGATACAAATCCCGTCCACTCTACCCAAATTAATTTGCTGTTCCTAGGGCAAGTTTGTTGTACGAAACATTTCATTTGTAATTTAATAGGGAATCTCTATAACGGTCAATGGAGTAACTGTAACAATATGTACCACAGCTTCACGGACCGGAAAATTTCGCATTGACAAGTCCCCGGAAAATGTACTTCGGACCCCCACTGATCGCACACATTTTTGTGCGGGGTTGCTAGCACTTTTTGCAGAAAGCTTTTTGTTGTTGTAGAGCGTATATAAAAGTTGAAGAGTTGGATATAATACCCTTGATACGATACGTAATTATTTTTGATGCTGATTCCGGTGCCGGGCGTAGAATCTCGTCGCTACTGGCCAGGTCATCGACGATTGTTTATCAGCGGAGCGTGTCAGCAGAGGTCCAGGAACGAAAGGCGGAGCAGATAGCAATCGCTTAGGAGCGTGCGAACCCTTGGACTGTATATGTCCCCGGCAACTGCATTCATAGAGCTGACAAATCAGGTCTTTGGCTTCAAATTCTCATCGTCAGACCAGTATTTACTGTTGGAGTGTTGCCGATGGATTGTGAGATGGAATCGACATTTTCATAATGTTTAAGCGTGTCTCAGTCGTTGAGATGTGAGTCAGCTGATTAGTTTTATATTGGTGGAGGCTCCTTTTTTGCGGTTAACGGATAAAAATAACTGTCTTTAACTATAAGCCATATTGATAATTATGATATATTCATCCACATTTTTGCTTTCCTAAGCAGAACAAGAAGAGAAATCTTAATCTTTTGCAAGGCCAGGGGATCCTATCCCATAGTCTGCGTTCAATTGACATAGAGGAACGAAAAATGGTACTTTATATACCGTTCACAGCATATTGCGTAATTGAGGGGACGAGTGAAGTATCCCAGTCATTGATACAATACAGTGTTATTACAATATGTCTTTAAAGGAAATTTCTGAATTTTATCACTTGGACCTCCAATTTGTATCCGGTTTCTCCTGAACGATGATGATAAGTTTTACAGATCAACGGTAGCGGTCTAAGTATAACGCCAAGCGCTTAGCATCTTGCTTTCTCTGCTGGATCTCAAAATATCTTTTTCCGACTAAACGTCCTCCAAAAACTATTCTCAGCAGCTAGACGAAAGTCAGCATTCTGAAAACATCGTCGTCCCTGTTTGGCGGGAAACGAGATAAGGATCGTCAGCACATTTCTTCATCTTTTGTGACATTACAGTCTTTGAGATACTGAATTGCATTCTCATGCACGGACGCACCAACTTTTTTTTAAGTTAATATGCGAGTTTTTGCTGATTTTTGGGTCAGCAAAGGTCCGATCAATGTCATGTCTTCTACTGTTTCGAGTAGATCATCAATATAATGAAAGGCCATTTCAGCTTCTACATGGATGTTAACAGAGCAATGAGATCGATACTAACATTATAAAACGAGAACTCTATCATCAATCACCTCTGACAAATGTCTTCGCGTATATGAGATTGCTTTGCACGGAATGACACGAAAATAGTATACGCATCTCCAAGAGACGGAAGACAAAGTTTCCAGGTATAGTTGTCCAGTTTGTGTAAGGTATACTTGTGAACAGATAAATGTGTAAGCACAGTGCATACTGTAAGAACAATTGCCTTTGAGCATCACTATCAACACAAACCATTTCGTCTTAATATTGTAGTGCAAATCATGTGCTTCCGCCCTATACTTGTGTTTACACCATGGAAAGTGGGGTAATTTCTGTGACGCGAAATGATCGCGAAACGATTTCAGCATTGACGAACGACCTTCAGAGTGGCAGACGCGTTTTCCCACGAATGCCCAACGTCGAAATCGTATACAAGACCGAAGGATCAGCTTCCGAGTTCAGCTGGTGAGTGAACGCTTCATCTTCACCAGGAGCCTTATGAACCACTTCCCCAATAGGCTCATAATTATCGGATGCCTAAGAAATAGAGACTCTTTTATAAGCGTATAGGAAATGTGTTTATAAATAAATGTAAATCCGCATCGAGTAACACTTCATACCGTTTCATCAAGACTGAATCAATCAGAAAAAGATAAAATTAATAATGGAATCGCAATACGCATCAAATCAATAGATCCACATAACGTACCAGTCTGTCAGATAGAAAGCATTGCAGATATCCAGTTCCGTCTCGAAGGACAATTGCA